CCACACACACACACACACACACACACACACACACACACACACACACACACACACACACACACATACACACACACACACACACACACACACACACACACACACACACACACACATACACACACACACACACACACACACACACACACACACACACACACACACACACATATGCACAGACACACAAAATATGTCACATTCAGTCATGTCACTTATTTTTACTCTCCAGAGGTAGAAAGCAGTGTCAATGTTATCTCTTGTTTCGCTTCTATTTCTATCACTTCTTTTCTCCTATTGAAGTTACTATCTTGCCCAGGGTTCAAGGTATCTTGCTCAGGGGATCATAGGGACTGAAGGAGCTGGGGGTCGAACCACTGAGCTTCCGATTAGTCGACCCACTCTACCTCCTGAGCCACAGCTGCTGCTCATAGATCATTTCCAAAAGTCTCAGTTTTAGGGGCTTGAATACTCTGGAGTAGTGGAAACCTGATGGAAATGTAGCAAAAGTGATGCGTTTTAAAACTAAAATGTATTAGTGTGGACGCAGCCTGAGGCTCCATGTTGAACTTGTGTCATCCTTCTTCTTCCCCTTGTTTTATCTTGTTTTATGGTGGTTGGCATTCTTCAGCTTATTGGTGCATTACCTCCACCTTTTGCTCTGGAGTGTGGATCAGACAATAGATTTACAATCTAATTCCTGAAGAAAAAAAAACTAAACTACATTTTAACTTGTGTTGTCCATATCACCAGCTTCACTTTGACTGAGCACAAACTAACGTTAGTTGGACAGGGTGGAGGCACATGACTGAATATTTAACGGGACAGTTCATGAATGCAGCATTGGGAAAAGTACCAACTGAATTAACTGACATAAGCAAGATTAAGTTAAGGTTAATTACCCAGTCCTACTCCTAAATATAAACACACAGTACACCCAAGCACTCAGTTATACAGTCATAGCCATGTACCATGAAACACCTGTTTATACCTACTGAGAGAAATGAGACATTTCACTGTGAGCATTTCAAACTGTGTGTGTGTGTGTGTGTGTGTGTGTGTGTAGTTATGTAACTCTAGGTACAGATGACTACCACGTCCTCAGTGACTCCATCTTGTAGAACAACCTCAGAGGGGAGGGAGAGGGAGGGAGAGCAGGGAGGTTAAAGGCAGGTGAGAGTGAAGTTCATGGCAGGAGTGAGGAGAGAGAAAGGAAAGAGACAGGAGAGAAATAGAGGGAAGGAAAACCTAGAGAAGAGAAAGTTATTCAGTAGAGGAGAGAATTGTTTGGAGAAGCAGTGGAGGAGGTAGAGACAGATGAGTGGAGTTTAAATGAGAGGAGGTGGTTTAGAAAAGAAGAGGATGATAAGTAGTACAAGAGAAATGGGTGGGAGGTACTAGTACATAAACAGAAATGGTGGGAGAACAATCTGGAAGGAAAGAGGCGAGAAAATGGTAGAGTGACTCACACAGACAGTTTTTAACACAACTCACAGTCCACTGAAAGTTTTCCCTCTTAACGTTGATTCATACTCACTTAGATATCTCATCAGAACATGGGAATATCGGCTTTGATGACACTGTATTTGTCACTAGCTAGAGATGCCTGGTTGGATGAATCACGCTGTTACACACAGACAAGAGTTGTCTCAAAGTTGTGCTCAGCATCGTGTTTAAAGTATGAAGTCAAACTTTACATGGTGATTCTTATATATTGTAACTGTTAAGTGATTTACTGATGATTAAAGAGGAAGACAACAAACTGCTGACAAACTCAACACCAGGGTTGAGCATCATTCAAGACATTTTCAGTATTGGTGAAAATACTCTCACTTAGTTCATCAAAAATAAATACAGAAAGCCTTATGTAAGTCATTAAGTAGTGAAATTTAAGTTACATATGCCCTGACTCAGTTTGCTAGATCAGTACTGATGACAATACAGACCAGTATTTAATGTGCATAGAATAACCAATCAATATAAAATAGTGTTTCTTTTCAGTGTCATGCTAGAATTCAGTGATTCTACTATCAGTCATCAGCTGCTAACTCAGTCTTAGTGTCACAGTAGACCCAGGCCTCACATTACTCCACACAGGTATATGGATTTGAAGTCTGGAAAAAGACAGTGTCACTGTTGAATGGTATTCACTACCTGAGTTGAAGTATTAGTATCATAGAGAAAAAGTTGTATTGGTGCATCCCAAATTTAATACTTTTACTTACTATTACTGACTATTAGACCAACAAACCGAGAGTTCGTTACATTGTTGAACTGTGAGACGGCTTTAAATGCATCATTAAGGTTACATTTGTATAGTGTGCTATACTGTACCTGTAAGATTTCTTTATGGAAGTGACCACAATGACTAAAAAGAGTCTAATGTACAGATACATAAGCAACATGTTCATATTCATGTAACTTTTCACAGCACTAGCAGTCTGTGAAAGTGGACGTTAAATGACTTAAGAATTATGAAAAATGGATCACAACATTTCACAAACTATTTCAGCAACTATTATGAACTGACCCTCAGTGTGACATCACCACCAGAGGCAATAAGGAGATTATATAACTCCAGGTAGTATAATCTGACAAAGAATAATTTCCTCTCAGATATGGTCTTCCTCTTAATGGAAAATTGATTCCCCCCCCCCCCGCCCCCCGCCGCCCGGTCTCCCTCTGTTCCCACTCATCTCACTGTTTACCTTAGCAGATGATCATTAGACTTTCAAAAGGATGCAGTCAAGGATATAGAGAAAGACACTTAGAGGGATAGATGGAGGTCTGTGTGTGTATGTGTGTGTGTGTGTTGGGTGGTGAGAGGAGAATTTAATACTGGCATTTATGATAAATTACACCTCTTTCTTCCTCTCCTTCCTCTCTCTCCCTACAGTAAGTACCAGTCAGTGAACATCAGCACTAACCTGTATGTGATCAGCCAGCCTTGGCTCTACACTCTGGCCTGGTGCGCTGGAGCTCAGTCTGTAACCACCAACTCCATCCACGTCCTGTCCAACATCAACAAGCCGCTCTTCCTCATGGTAAACACAGTCAACTCTTCATCTCTATTATCAGAAAACCTGTAAAAAATCATGTGGCTGAGTCTCTCTGATGTTTCCTCCTCTAACCATCTTGATACTCTCTGCTCTTTCACCTGGCAACCTGGAGCAAGCAGGTGGTGGGCGGGGCACAAGGCCTCATCTAGATTACTTTTATTAAAATATTAATAATAGCAGAGGATTTTACAGATTTTAAAACATGTCTGAAGAGGGACTTTAACATCTGTTTATCACAATGATCAAACATGAAGAAGAGAAAATGTTTAACCTGATCTAATCAGATTGAACCTCATGCTAGACTGTGCAAATATTGGCATTGCTTATATACAACCATTAGTGTTTCCAAATCATATGTCTCATGCTTCATTAAATGAGTTAATCACTCACAGTGAGCATACATGGCTGTGTTCAGTTATGTTGTAAGTTTGCAGGCGACTCTGGTCATGACGTGAGGCTCAGCAAACACAGTAAAGGCAGGAGGCAGATCGCGTATCAGCCAGGAAATCTCTTCAGCAGGTGTCGAGTGTGTTTGAAGATTGAGCCTGGTTACATAAATGTTCTGTCTCACCACGTGCTCATCTGTCTAGATTCAAATGAGTCTGATCAAGGTTTTGATACGTGTGTTCAAGTCACACGTAAGAGTCATGCGCTATGGTCGCTAAGTGGAAAAATGATATTCATGTTCACACTCTTCTGTGTCTGTCCCATGTGAGGAGCTTTTGTGTCAGTAAATGTAATCAACCCTTTCTCTCTCTCCAGACTCCAGAGGAATACAGTCTGATGTGGATTCTGACTGATGCCGTGTCTGCCCTCCTCATCATCGCCATCTTCATATTCCACTGGTGCGAAAACACATACACACAGACACACACACACACAGTTGCTGCTCTCATAATTACCTTCCCCTGCTAATTGCAGCGTCTGGTGTTGGGGTGGAGAAGCTGTGCAGGGCTGAGTCATCGTGGCTGCCGATGAGGTTTCATTATTAATATGTAGCCAGCAAATGTGTTTTTGATCAATGTTAGGATGGAAAATGTGTGTGAGTGAAAGATCATGACAGAGTGAGAAAAAACAAGGACGCTAGCTGGGACATGAGGGCTGATTTATTTTTTATGTAGGACTGGTTTACATTTATATCAGTTACAACATTTTTCTTTAATGCTTAATTGCAAAGATATTGTGGCACCACTAGATCCAGGAGTCCATCACAACAAAGTGATCAGACAAGAAACAAGTACAGATGAAGGTCAGTGATTGTGGAGGCCAGTACTGAGCAGTTCTTGACATGATATGGATTAGCACAGTTGTTCAATAGGGCTATTTACTGTATACCAACAACAACACAACACAGCTGATGGTCTCAAATGCATTAAGAAGACAAGAAACTCCCCTAATTTTCAATGTGTTCAGTTCTATAATGTAGAAAATAGTCATAATACAGAGAAACCTAAAAATGGGTAGGTGTGTGCAAACTTTTGTCTGGTACTGTAAATAGGAATTATTTTATTTAAAAACTGTTTTTCATTTACTGTTGAGTTTCCATTAAGTCAAAGAAACACTCAGGAACACACTGGGGATTGTTGTGAACAGCTGTCTCAGTAACAATCAGGTAAATCTGACTAGTTTAATAAGAATAAGACATTTTGAACATTATTGTGGATAAAGGTCCCATATTTACACATTTGCAGTGTTTTATTGTATTGATCCATAAGAAGATATATTTGTGGTTTTAAGAACCAAAAATCATCTCAATGTTGTTTTACATCTCCTCTCTGGCACTCTGGCAAGAACAGCTCCACAAAACACTTTTGCCTTCTGTCGTGGTCAGATGACTCGTGCAAACGACTGACAATATAAAGATTGTGTTTGTGTGTGTGTGTGTGTGTGTGTGTGTGTGTGTGTGTGTGTGTGTGTGTGTGTGTGTGTGTGTGTGTGTGTGTCAACAGAAAGGCCTGGATATTTAATCTCTTTAATCATCACTCCCTCTTTTCTCCCTTTTATACCTAGGCTTTAGTCAACACTCAGCTGGACCCCTTTTTCCCTCTCTCACACACACACACACACACACACACTCTGCTCAGTGTACACATCAAAGCTGTCACAGTGGTACACATGGTGTCTCAAAGCTCTTTGGTGTGTGTGTGTCACAGGTGGAGAGAGCGAGGCCTGCCCTTCTGGTCCGGCAGCCGTCAGACTCATGAGAACGGACCATACAGCAAGTTCAGGACGGGTATGACAATATTTGTCTTCTCTTCACTCACTTGAGGCTTGTGTGTCTACACTGTGTCATCACAATAGCTAATGCCTTGTCTCCATCCTGGATGATGAGCTGTGTTTACTGATGAGGGATGAGATGAGGATATTGTGTCTCATTGTTTGAGTGAGTGAACAGTAAAAGGCTTATAAACTATTAGAGAAATTAACTAATTAGAAACAAAAACAAATATCTTTCTAAAATTGTCTTTCTTTAAAGAACAGAAGATAAAAAAGAAATTTGATATACTGTGTAAAATAATGTGTTATAGGAAAACTCTTGGGAAATGCTGTCTTCCCGGGAGCTCCATGAGAACATCAGTATTGAGTATTGAGGTTTTAATGGATCAAGAGATAAAACACATTTCAACAGCTCTAAAGTCTTGATGTTTTACCTTTGTTTTAACTCTTATGATTCTTAGATGAATTGCTGTTATCTTGGAAGCTTGCCACCACTTCATCTAAGAATCATACGTTTTATTCAGAGTTTTGTGAAGCTGGAAAATTCACCATGAGGATGGTACTTCTAAAATGCTACTCGTGGTGATGTCCTAATACAAACATACTCCTTAGCTCACACAGATGTAAATGATATTCATCTCAAACAATCATATTTCCCAACATGTCAGGTCAGGCATTTAAATGTAGCTTGGTTCAAGCTGTGGCTCGACCAGCAGAGACAAGACATTATCTTATGATAGCCATCTTTGCATGCAGTGACTTTCTGCTGTATGTGTTGTGTATGTGCGTGTGTGTGTGTGTGTGTGTGTGTGTGTGTGTGTGTGTGTGTGTGTGTGTGTGTGTCAGACTCTTCTGAGGTCATCTGTGTTCGCTGGAGCCCCCTCCACTCTGACCCCCCTGCTGGAGCGCTCGTCTCCCTCCCCCTGGTCTTCAACCCTTGACACCCTGCATGTCCACCCTGCATGTCCACCCTTCAGGAACCTTGTATGAACCGTGAACCCTGTGTGAATTGTACAAACTGCTATGTTGATTTTAGAGAACTAGTTGGAACCCTCTATGAAACCCACAACAACTTCTGTGACACTGTCACCATGATCAGTCAATATAAATACAGCTGATATGTTCACAATAAGATAAATGATAAGATGAGTAAGAGATCTGTGTGATTTAATTGTTTAAGCTTCGTTAGGCAAAGTGAGTGTGGATAAATAAAATGTTACGTCTGGAAGTGGACGAGTGACGGACATTTCAAACATTACAGAAACACCTTAAATGCTGATGGTGTGGATTGTCCTTCACCTTAACATTGTAGCTACAATCAGAAAATAGAGCTTTCTCTTAGGTGTTATTGCCATAGTAACACCTAATCTGACTGCTGTACAAGCTTAAGTTCACATTGAGAGCTGCAAGACATGTCACAAACCCAAATGACCTCCAACAGAGAAAGACAGTATATGAAGCCTGTACGTGTCCTTGCATCATGAACCAAACTCATTGTTTTATCTCATCTTTGCCTCTCTTACATCCCAACCCTCATTTATACTGAAGAAAAATATAAATGCAACACTTGTTTTTACTGTAATTTCACATGACAAACACAAAAGGCTTATTCTCTTGAATTTTTCCATGTTAGTGAGCATTTCTCCTCCACCAAGATAGTCCATCCACCTGACATATCAAGATGCTGATTACGCTGCTGATTATTGCACAGGTGTGCCTGGGGCTGGTCCCAGTAAAAGGCCGCTGTAAAATGTGTAGTTTTATCAGAGAACACAGTGCCACAGATGTTTCATGTTTTCTGATGGAGTGTGCAGTTGACAAGCTGAATGTCCACCAGAGCTGTTGCCTGTGAAATTAATCATTTTCACGCCAGCCTAGGACCTCCACATCCAGCTTCTTCACCTGGGAAATCTTACAGGTGAAGGTGATCTTACAGCTGAACAGTTGATTTGCATAATCTGTCAGAAACTGTCTCAGGGAAGCTCGTGTTCATGCCTGTCATCCTCAGGGTCTTGACCTGAGTGCAGTTTGTCGCTTAACCGACCTGAGTGGATAAATGCTCACCGCAGATGAATCCCAGTTTTCATAGAAGCAGGCAGATGGCAGGCAGAATGTAGGGTGTCATGTGCGCGAGTGGTTTACTGATATCAGCGTTGTGAACAGAGTGCCACATGGTGGTGGGGATATGGTATGGGCAGACAATGAACACTGGTAACACTGGTGAATTTTACTGATGGCAGTTTGAATGCACAGAAATGCCGTGATGTCATTCATCCACCGCCATCATGTCATGTTGCAGCATTATAATATGCATGTTGCTAGGATCTGTACCATTGAAGCCACTGATTAGGAGTGGGCCACAATCAACCACCTGATCAACTCTGTCATGTCAAATGGTCTCACCAGATACTGACTTGTTTTCTGATCCACGACCCCCCAAAAGAATGCAGATCCAAGTCATATTAAATCCACAGTTCAGTGTCTAATAAATGTCTTCTTATCAGAGCCTGACCGATATTGGATTTTTGGGGCCGATTCCAATATCAATATATCGAGTCAAGGATGAACTGATTAGATTTTGGGGGTCAAAGGTCAAGGTCACAGTGACCTCAGAAAACACTTTTTAGCCATAACTCAAGACTTCATACAGCTATTTTTTTTGGGGGGGGGGGGGCATTTTTGCCTTATTTTGACGTATTTTTTTCACAGTGAGAGAGAGACAGGAAAGTCAGGGAGAGAGAGAGGGATGACATGCAGCAAAGGGCCACAGGTCGGACTTGAACCCGTGGCCACTGCGGTCAGGACTAATTTTTGATACGACTCAGGATAAACAGGGATGTAATCTGAAACTAGTCTGAGGGGACGAGGCAGACAACCACCAGGAGGTGATTGTAGTTTCAAAATAAAACTTTACATTTTAAAGTTGCCTTTTATTGTGACCAGCTCCAGGCACAGCTGTGACATAATCATGTGTAATCAGCATCTTGATCTGTCGCACCTGTCAGGTGGATGGATGATCTTGGCAAAGGAGAAATGCTCACTAACACGGATTGAAACACATTTGTGAAGAAGCTTAAAAAAAAATCCAGTGTGTAGAAACAATTTCAACTCATGAAAAAGCAAAAACTTGTGCAAAAAAAGTGTTGTTTATATTTTTGTTCAGTGTGTGTTTCTCGTCCGTCGTTACCTTGAGCCCGGTCCCCTTCAGTATGTCCTCTGTATTACCCACAGTGCTCCTCTGACCTTTTCCTCCCTTTGCAGAGCTGAGTGATGTGTGGTCCATCTCCAGCGTCAACGTCCGGCCTGATTTACGGAGCACGCCCAATTCACCCGGCACTCCTCACCTGCCCACCATCACAGAGGAGTGACTTGGGGAGAGAGACATAGAGGGAGACAAAGGATGAGAGAGAGAGAGAGACAGAGAGAGAGAGAGACAGAGAGAGAGGGAGAGAGAGAGAGAGACAGAGAGTGCTAAAGGCTTCAAATCTTGAGCATCTCTTGATAAAATTAAACATTCATGACTAAATAAGAAACCATCAAGTCGGATTAAAAACATTCTTGGTTCTTAACTCAAGAGTTAACAAGGAAAATTACATGTGGTTTGCTTTTAATTCACATGTTGCTAAATTAGTAAAATCTTTTTTGTGTCAAATAATCAAAACTGTTGTCTTTGTCAGAAAAGTGTTTATGTAGAAGCTCATCGCACACAGTAAGAAGACGATTGAGAAAATGAATTACCACAGCCTTTAAATAAAAGAGAAACGACAAAGTGACCAAGAACAGACACATGTAAAGTGAGAGACATCAACGATCTCATCTTTCTCCGCCTCCTCTGTTATTCTCTCAGTCTGTGGACTGGACTGAACTGAACTGATGAACCAGACCTCATCACTGATCTGCCATCAGTGACAGAGAGGAGAGACTCTGGACATGAACCCGGTTCACAGGCAGCAGTGTCACTTTCTACTCTATAATCTCATAGATGCCATTAAACTGTCTGGGCAGTGAGGACAGTGAAACACTGGCCCTTGACAACATGTTCATGTCTGGTCATTCACCACCACCAACTCAGTTCAACAACGCAAGATGTCAAAGAATCTACACCTCACAGAAGAAGGAAGAAAACAATGAACAAATATATATATACAGCTGTAGTAACACATGAGTCGCTTTCACTCTCTCCGTCTCGTGTTTCTAGTTGATAAAAACGATGTTTGACGGAGGAAGAGCGGAGGACTCGGGGTGAAGCTCTGATGCTGATGGAAACTGTGTCTTCAGAGCAGGAGACATCTGGACATGATGAAATGGACTGAGTGTCCTCTGTATGAATTCTTCTACTTCATTTTCAGCTGTGTCGATATCAGGTGCATCAGACCAAACCTTAAACCATGTCTTAAATCTTAATGTCTCGAGTTGTTGGATGTGGTGTGTGAACTGAACGCTGTTCGACTGACAGGATGAATGTAAACCCGAGGCTTGAGAAGGTATCGGTAGTTAAAATATTTATGTTTGTTACTAAAGTGAATGTATTATCAAGTGGGGCCATGTTTCTCAAAAGCATATGAGAAATGTTCTGGCTGGGTCTTCTCACTTTGGCTGCAGATTTGTGCCAAATGTCGTTTGAGCTGCTCTAAATAAAGATTAGACAAAGATGCTTTTGAGAAACCTGAACTCTTTACGGGGCAGTAAATACAGCATCTGCTTTTTTCCTCACATATATGCACGCAGTACTTTCTGGAAGTATGACTCTATGGAAGTTTAGTTGTGAAATCCAGAGTGTCGTGTCTCAACCTCTCAGGTGTGAAGTCCAGGAGGTTTGGGGCCTTGGTGTTCTGAGCGTTTTTGCCAGTTTTCTGCACAGTGTTGGAGATGGAGCAGGACATGCTGCAGTAAGTGCCATTAAAAGAGACTGGCTTTGTTTTCATTGTTTAGAAGCAGAATCACTTTGTTCATGCACCACAGTAAATATACAAGAATTTATTTGGAAAATGTGACAGTAGTGTCTGACAGATCTCCTTGGATGCACATGATCTACAGGGAATTCACAGTTTACACATTTAGCCCACAGTCCCAATCCATCTGTAGTCTCATTTAGCATTTCATCTTCCAATCTGAGTCAGTTTGACACTTGGCTAAAAATTGGACTTTAGGTTTAGGATTTGGTTGGATGTTTGTTGTTGGTTTAGACTTGAGCTTGCTCTGTTTTCGTCTGTGTCCTGTACACAGACAACACTCACTATACTCACGTCGGACTCAGCTGTGGTCTCTCTGACTGAGGTGGTGCTGAAACACATCTGAAGGACTATTTACAGAAAAAACCTGAAGGCAACACCAAACCTGCGAGTGGCATTGTGGTCATTGTATTTCCTGGTCCTGAAGTCAGTTGAGCAGTGCTGATACGAGAATGAAAAGGTAAAACAGCTAAATCATTACAAGACAGAATCACATGACTAAGTAACTTAATGTACTGTACTGTATTGTAATATGAATAAGTGGTAGCATTTAGGTGAACTGTATTTGTGTTCCTGTTGAGAATATAGTAGCTGATCTGTTGGGTAGACAAGCGTTTTAGCTACAGTTATCAATCACTAGCTGCACAGCCATATTTATTCTATTGAATATGATGTGTCCCACTGTAAGAGCATTCATTTGAAGTGAGCGAATCTGGTGCACTGGAAATGTAGTGCATTTCCAGCTTTGCCTGTGTTGGATTTGTCCAACTTTAGTTTTTTAACTGCTCTCTTGAAGTGAAAATCTTGTGAACTCTCTTGAAAGAGATTTCCACTGGTGATTCAGGTGGTGTCATGATTTATATATCCTCACATCCATAATAAAACTGAGTTAGGTAAACGGCAGCTCTCCAGAGGTCAAGAACAACATGCTCTGATTCATCAGAGGTCAACACAAGGTCATGATGAAGCTGTTTTTGACATCTGGAGCGTCGCATTTGACTTTGGTTCTGGGAAAAACAGACATTGGACCAATCCCAGTGTCCCCCCCCCCCCCCCCCCAAGACTTACTAGACGTCACCAGGTAAGTGGCTGAGTGCGAGAGGCTGCAAGGGCTCAAAATGTTTTAAAGAGGAATGGGACAGAACTTTCACGTTACCTTGACGATGCCAAAACATGTTGCGTATAATCGGAGGACAAATTACTACACACAGCTATGGCTCTGAATCACCAGTGAGTGTTTACAGCCAAATTACACTGAGGCCACGTGTGAACGTTTACGTTTGCATCGTTCCTTTCATGCTTGTTTATTAACTGTTCTTCTTCTATCTTCTATTTTTCGTATCATGGCAGTTGTTTACAGTTTTTTATGTTTCTGGGTGTCCCCTGGTAACCATGACAAACCTGTATTTAACATCACAACGGCAAAGTCTGCAGAAATGCAGATTTACGAAAAGTGGCTCAAAATGTCTGATAGAGAGTCCTCATGCACTTGATGGTTTTATAGTGGGACGTCCTGAACCCTCATGGACTCACCGGGAACGCGCCTCAGAGTCTGAGTGTGAGGGGGGACGTTGGCTTTGAGCCTTTGTTTTTAAGGCACAGCGTGAAGGAGAAGTGCTCCTGTTTCCCCTCTATTTATACACTGTATGATCCACTTCTGCTTTATCCAATATCTGGCTAAGTTGTACGTGAATCTTACCAAGGTAACATGGGGGATGTGGCTTCAGTCACAGATGAGCAGCAGAGATTTTATCGCTCATATTTACTTGGTATGTTCAACTCAAACAAGCAGGAAATCTTCTCTGGCATCCTGAAGGCAGAGGCTTATCCTCTGGCTCTGTTTTAGCGTTTAAACCTACAGTTTATATTTAAGACAAACATTCAGTTACATTCTGGTTGTATTTATTGCACTGTCTTCACACACAGACGACCCCTGCATGCTGCTCTGCATGTGTTCTCTCAGTGAAGTTAATGAAAGCAAACGCTAAATCGATACAGTCAATGTGGACGTTGTCAGGTCACAGGCTGAAACTTCATCTTCTCATGGTTTAATCTCAGACACCTTCACTACAGACTGGTGAACAAAATGACTTAATGCTTGAGAAGGATTTCTTGTTTCTTGGCAGAACTAAAGTGCAAGGCTTTGTCTGATGATCGTCTTCCTTTTCTGACCCAGTCCTCATCAGTACATCACACAGTACCTGCCTGCAGGAATGTGCTATAGATAAAAGTTAGGTTTTTATGTTTGTGCTCATGTAACGAAATAATTCAATGAAATAATGAATTTGACTTCACTAGACGGAGTTCTCCACATCACAGCTGTGTTTTCAGTTCATGGCTTGAAACTGGAAGGATGGTGTTCCTGTTCAACACCTGTTACCATGTGATCAGCTGGTTTTCTGAGTCATGGCTGTTGTCACACTTGTCCTTGAATGTGACTTGTGTTATGATCCTAACTACACCGGAGTTATGTGAAGAGATGCCGACTGTAAAGGACAAACTGTGGACATGAAACATCTCTGAACATCACATCCGCTGTGTTAGAGCATCAACTGTCAACATCTGGAATAATGCAGAGGACACACAGGCTCATGTAAACTCAACAGTGTCTCTGAATAATGAAGTGCAGGAAATACAACCTAACATACAGAGTAATGAGGTTATAATAGTCCAGATGCCATTCTGTCAGACGGTTAGATCTCTGTAGCTTCTTCCATCTTGTGCTGTCCTGAACAGCTGTTTTTATTTTATAGAGGCGCTCCTTCTTTCATTCATGTTTGTTTTTGTTTGTTTTTTTACTGTAACTTTTGATTGTAAAAGCATCTGGTATTAAAACATTAGAAAATGTGTCTCTTTAAGTTGTTTATGCCTGAAGTGAACAGAGAATCTGAAAACTTATGGTCTGTGGTGTTTGATGTTAAATTTGTTGCTGCGTTTGACCCTGAGGTGGAGACTGATTCTAATTATATAGTGATGGAACTTAAAAAGAAAAAGAAAAAAGCTTTTCAATTCTCCTCATCAAGTCTTGGTGAAAGTTGGACACACTGAGCTTCTGTCGTTAAGAGCAGCGACTGATCATATGCTGTATCACATTCATGGTCAGCGGGAAAAGCCAGTTACAGGGACTTACCCAACATCTGTCACACGCTGTTATTTTATATGCATTTAAAAAAAATCTACCCTGACCCAACATTAGAAACCTCTGCTGTTCTCCTACAGAGGAAGTTACTGAAGAAATTCACTGCATAGATTTTATTCTCAGGTTTGTGAGCTGGAGAAAAAGTGAAGTATTTTTATGCCTTGGCTGGAGGTGTTAAGATTTCAGGTTTCAGTCCCATTCTTGTGACTGTGATCAGCTGTGAGGAAATGTATTAATATTTTCTTTATATTTTGATTTGACTTTAGTCAAAGGTCAACGTCACTGTGACCTCACTTTATGCATTTTTGGACATAACTCAGTAATTCATAGACTAATATATGACAAACCTTCAGACAAATGTCTAAAATGATGAAGTGATGACATTTTATATCCAAAAGGTCAAAGGTCATACAGTAGGTCATGATAATGTTAATGCAAAAACACTTTTCTGGCCATTGTTCAACACTGTAAGTGAGGAACAGGAGGTGAAACTGTGACCATATTTCCTGTAACTTGATTGGTTGGTGGAGACAAACAACCACAAGGCAGGAACTCTAGTTTTATCTTTAACTTATGTCCAAAAGTTATCTAACATAACATTAGTATATAAATATACCAGTGAACAAACATGAAACCAGTCATCAGACACTATGACACAAAAACCATTAGATAAGTGTCCAGACTGTGTGTGTTATTCATTCATTATGTCAGTCCGGACAAAACAAATGTATTTAATGTTTTATACAAAAGCAACAGCGCACACACACAACACACACCGTGACACACTCTCGAGGAGTCAAGATGATTGAAGTAGTCAGACAGATCAGTCCAGAGAGAAACAACAATCTCACAACAAGGTTACCAAATGGAGCGATTGGCACGTCTGTTTGTTCATGATACAAAACCTCCAACACAGATTACTGGATGAAGAGTTCATCACATCGACACATCTGACAGAACTGAGTTTCACCAAATCAAAGAAGGAAACAAACTAAATAAGAGACTTTCTAAATGTTTGTGGCACAGATTGGATTTTTGATGTGACCGAATCAACACACAGGAACATGGCATTTCTCTTGAAGTTGTAAGTCTTTTTTTCCAGAGCTTTAATGCAATTATTTGTATTTGAAGAGTTAAAATCAAAACAAAGTTTTTTCTAACTACCAAACCTACAAGTCAGTACTAACCAAACATTTTGCTTTTGGTGGTTGGATTATATGTAACTGTAAAATATCCTCTTTATCATTTCAAAGGTAAACATAAGACTTCACATGCTCATGGACTTAAAGCCACAGACAGACACTTTCTTTCACACGTCAAAGCTGCAAAAATCAGATCTGTGCCACGATGAAATATAAACTGCTTGTGTGTTTTTCATGCAGCTTTAGTGGAGGTAAAGCCACTGGTGGAGGGAGAGCGCAGGGTGAGTGTATTTAAATATTCAAAATGTTTATCTGGTTTTACAGCAGATCGTCTGTCTTCTGGGAAAAAACAACTCACTTGTCCAGGTGTGGAGGTATGTGCTCGCTCAGTATGTCACTTCAGTTGTTTTTGTGCACTTG